CTATATATATATATATATATATTGAATGTGTGTATGTGTTTGTATATATGAATGTATCTGTACTTGTAGTTATATGTGTGTATATATATATATATATCTGTATTGATACCGGTTATGTATGTGCTTGTTTAAATATTTATGCGCTTGTATATGTACGAGTGTGTAAACTTATATATATGTATTTTTTTTATTTTTTTTCACATATTGTTATATATTTGTACTCGTATGTGTACTAATGCTTATATATATATATATATATATATATATATATATATAGTGTGTGTGTGTGTTTAGGAGTTTTCTTTTTTACATATTAGTCTTATTTTTAAGTATTACATTTTGCCTGGACATTTGAATTTAGTTTTTTTATTCGTGTATGCGTATATATTTATTTTCTATTCATTTCTATATATTTTAGTGTCCTTTTTCCTTATGTTGTTCATTGACAAATATTTGCTTTTCTATTCTATCCATATTAAATTTTATCTATTCAACCATTTTTATATATATATATATATATATATATATATATATATATATATATATATATATATCTTTTTGCCCGTATAAGTTATATTTTAATTGTATGTCTGAATTTTTACTAACATTTTCAAATATGAATATTTCTTGGTGGGTATATGTTCGTGTCTTTATCAATGTGTGTGTGTGTGTGTGTAATCGCTTATATGTGCCTTTCATTATATGTATATGTTGTTTTTTGTTTCTTAAGGGTCGTGGACACCTATTTCCTGTTTCGTCGCTTTTTTGCGTGTTTATGCTTGTGTATTATAATCTGATTGTGTATGTATTGTCTTTTGCGAAATTTCACCCTCCCTGCCCATATCATCACTTCAAATATATAAGTTGTAACGAAGCTCAGACTAACATTAGATTTTAATTTTTTTTATTCCAACTTAATTTTTGGCCTTTCAATAAAAACAAAATAAATAACAAAACATATGTATTTTCCTTAGTTTCTTTAAATAATTTCATTATTTTTTAAACTTAATACAGATTAAATTTAAAATTGGTCATTTTGAATAAAATTTAATATTAATTAGTTAGAATAAATTCTATTTTAGTCTAACCCTAACATTAAAGCATTAATTAATTATTATAACCAAAGTTCGTTATCAAGTTTTTTGAATTCCCATATACTTGTATTTTGATTGGTCATTCCAGCTTATGTAAGAGCGTTTCCCCTAGCGACGGGTGTTTGATTGATTTAAACCTTTTAAAACCCTTTATTCTACATTCAACACCGTCACTTGATAAGACACCAGAAGCGCTGAAACAAAATGGCTATTTTTGTAGTGAATTTATAACATTTTTATGTTATAATTTTCGAATAAATAATTATATTTGCTCTACTCTGTATTGAGCACTCTTAAGAATACTATGTTTTGGCTATTGGAAATTATTCCGTATACACCAATCCTATACTTGGGTGTGTGTGTATATATATATATATATATATATATATATATATATATATATATGATTTGACGCCTTGTAGTTCCTGGTCATAGGGTATAATAAAGGAGAGCGTGTATAGCAAGAGAGTTTTGTGATATCAATGACAGAATACAGATTGTGTATCATCCGGTTTCCGTGAAATGAGTGACCTCGCTTCAAATGCTACTGTTGTTCGCTGCTTTTGGTGTGTTGATGCTGCTGAACAGATTCAGACCATTCTCTCAATCATCACGCACAAACGACGTATGTTTTGCGAATAAATGATATTTACACTTACATTGTTAACTTAATTTTGACCAGCCCTGTATATAAATATATTATATATAAAAATACAATGTATTAAAATGCCATACTTGAATTTCGCTGCTTTTCCGGGACTTAAAGTTTTATATACCCCGACTGTTTGCTTGCCGGCGTTCACATAATCAACGGGCGTTTGAAAATTAATGTAAGTAATGAAAGTAAGTCACGAGTTAACAGCGACATTTATGCATCGCTTGTTCATATATTATGTGTGTGTGTGTGTGTGTGTGTATATAGTATCAAATGACAAGTGGAAAAAATCTTACATTTTGCCGACGCGTTTCGTCTTCCGACTTTTTCAAGGCCAAAATGAAATCGAAATGTTTTTGTTGTTATAGTTACATTAAAAATCCAAATTTAAAAACTAATGTAAGATTTTTTCCACTTGTCATTTGATGCCAATCTTTCTTGTCCACAGAATTCATCTGGGAATTTAACTAAGAGAGAGAGAGAGAGAGAGAGAGAGAGATAGAGATAGAGAGAGAGAGATAGAGAGAGAGAGAGAGATAGAGATAGAGAGATGGAGAGAGAGAGATAGAGAGAGAGATAGATGGATAGATGAGAGAGAGATAGATAGAGAGATAGATGGAGATAGAGATAGATAGATAGATAGATAGATAGAGATAGATAGATGGAGATAGATAGAGATAGATGGAGAGATAGATAGATAGAGATAGATAGATAGAGATGGATAGATGAGAGATAGATGAGATAGATAGATAGAGATAGATAGAGATAGATAGATAGAGAGATAGATGGAGAGATAGATGGATAGATGGATGGATGGGGATGGATAGAGAGAGATAGAGAGATGGATGGAGAGAGATGGAGAGAGAGAGAGAGATAGAGAGAGATAGAGATAGAGAGATAGAGAGAGAGAGAGAGAGAGAGAGAGAGAGATAAAACAATAAAAAATATTAAAAAATTAAAATCTTCAGACACACTGGGTGGTAGATTAATATTCTTTCGTTTTTATTATTATTTCATTTAGATTCCTCGACTAGTTTCGGCCAACATGGCCATGATCAGAAGAAAAAATATTTCTGATAGCAGTGAACTACAGAAATGAATGTTCGATGGAGAGAGAGAGAGAGTAAGAGAGAGAGAGAGAGAGAACATACATACAGGATTGGTCAAAACATCTTTTAACATTATGCCATTTTCACTAAATAAAATGTATATAAATTGTGAGATTTAAAAATAATAAGTAATTGTAAGAACGCTGCATAAACAGTAAAAACGAACAGTTGAAATGCTTTGAATTTACAGAAACACATTTACATACTCAAAGACAAGATAACCCCTGAAGATTGTCTCAGATAAAACAAAGGGTATCTTCAACAAAAAAAAAAAGAACAAAAAAAACGCATTATTAATTGATTTGTTTTCTGCGGTTTATCAACCTTTTCTAGGTTCTTTAAAACCAGAAAATATTTTTTTCTAGAAATGTTTGGGAAGATAATTAAGATTTAGTATTATAAATTATAGCTGGAGGGAGAAGAGGTGGATTCATACATTTCGCAAGACTATTTACGCGTAAGTGAATATAACGAACCCAACTGGAATTGAAACTCGGCTCTCCGGTTAACAATTCCGAATCGTTATCCATTACACCACCTGCACATTCAAGTTTACGGCAGCTGATATTTTCAAATGGTCAGATAGTGACCGGGCTCGATGTTGCTAAACTTCGGTGATTATACGTGAGCCGGTGTTTCATCGTAATAAATCTCGTGGTAATATTGACTTAGACTATAAGAGAGGGTCGTTTATTAAGGCAAAGTATATGAAAGAGCGCCAATTTCAGTCTTCCGTAGTAAATATACGGCCAGGTTTATAAAGCATCTCGCTTCTCTTCCAAATATTGTTATTACAGTGCGTGATATTTTTAAAGAAAAAACAACGGCGATAAAAATAAAGCTATGCTGTAACTAAGCCTAGCTGTTATCAGTGATGGCCGAAAAGCGGGTATCATATTGTATCGTGTTTACGGTATCAACTGGACTTAATCTGGCTATGCAAGAAAACATATTCGTAAAGCGACATTACTAGTTTTGTGTTACGAGACGTTATCTGCAGAGACTAAAAGATTTAATGTAGATTTGGTACTGTAAATTCTTATTAGTTTTACCAATAAACTACTAGTCCAATGGGTTAACTGTGATATAATAAATAGAAAAAAAAAATCGCGTCCGCCCCTGATATTTCTGACTGACGAAGATTACGTTTTTCTTTTTTTTTTTTTTTTTTTTTTTCTTTTAAATCAGTACTTTTTCCACAATCAGGGAAAGGGGTGGAGGAGCACAAGCAATAAATGGGACACTGTTTAATCTTGTCTTTTGAATTATTGGGGGTGACACTTCGAGGTCCCAGCGTTGGCAGACGAGAGCGAGAAAGAGCGTATTTAATAAGTTGCGACCAGCAATGCCTATACTGTCATTAAAAGACAACGAGAGATGGCAAAACCCTGAAGATGAATGAGTCTGAATTCCATGTACGAACGTGCGTCTTCATTACGAACGAAAAGGTCAAAGCGAATACTGTCTCGATTATCTGCCCCTTGCGAAGCAACAGCCTGGGAATGAACTAGAATACGTTTGGGAGGGATTGTGGAAATGATTAACACAAGGATTCGTGTATAGTGGTCATGTTGTTTCAAACATACAGTTCATAATTACTAGCTGAAATTACCCATCTGCACTCGCCGCGAATTTAAGCAACGGATACAATGATAGCAAATCGGCGACAAATTTAACCACCCGCTACAATGATAGCAAATCGGCGACAAATTTAACCACCCGCTACAATGACAGCAAATCGGCGACAAATTTAACCACCCGCTACAATGACAGCAAATCGGCGACAAATTTAACCACCCGCTACAAATACAGCAAATCGGCAACGAATTAAAACAAACTTTGGAATTCGTTTTCTACGGTTTATAAACCCATAGCAGGTTATTTAAAGCCAGAAAATATTTTTAGAATAAATGCTAAGAAACATTTTTTTAAAATTATTGTTAGATGTTTTTTTTTTCTTAAGACAAAACAGTTTAAAAATAGTAGTCTTTCTTACGTAGCTGGTGGGTTGGGGAAAAAGTGGATTCACGCCTTTCCTTAGGGTGTTAATGCTTGTAAGTAAATAAAATGAACCCAACATGAACTGAAACTCGGCTCTTCGATTAACAATTCCTTTGCCCTTTTCTATTACACCACCCACTCTTACAGCACCTGATAATCCCCAAGCGGTCACCTATTGAATTACTGACCAGGCTCGACTTTGCTTGACTTCAGTGTTCATACGAGAGCCCGTGTTTCAACGTGACGTGGCAGTAAGCCTGATGAAGACGAGCTACATGTCAGCGATTTATACAGATATATTAGCGATACGTTCGACACTCTGAAAGTAAAATATAACATTCATTTCTATGGAAACTACAACAGGCACAGTGAGCATGATAACACCATTGGATTGTGCAAGTTTTCCCCCTGAAAAAAAAACAAAAAAAAACGCCATTTTCGACGCCATCTTCATTGCGCGGTTGATAACTGCAGCGCAGCCCAAAAAGTGAATTCACACACACAGAGTTGTTACTGCTGTGCTCATATCCACAATTTGGTCCCGGCAAACCTTCAGTAAGCGTCAATGAATATAAATAGGTACCTCCCTCCCTCCCCACATGAATGTAGTCAATGAAAGCATTTTTCTATAGCTATATCCATAGCATATGTTCGGACAATTTTCATTCCTTAGTCCCACCACCTTTGGCTCGTATACACTTTCACGCCAGATAACATTTTGCTAGACTACCCTTCAGTTATCCGTAACAAGGTATAAATATTAAGATGTTAGTGGCGGGAAGGTTCAGTCGTTACTGTCATACTATGCACATCCGCCCGCGAATTGATATAACGGCGTGCAGAACTAATTTCAACTCGGAACTAAGGGTTAGGGCTTTTAGATCGAGTTGAAATTAGTTCTGTCACTTGGTATAACTTCTTCGGTAAATTAAGTAGAGTGGTTTCCCGTCGCCTTATCAACGTTTAGAATTTATAGTATTCCTTCTATTTTGGTCACCATCAATTCTGTTGATATCTCAACATTCATGCCCTTTTTCGGAAATATAGCAGGGTGGTTTGCCGTTGACTTCTCGTTTTGAATTTAGCGTAGCGTATTCCTCCTTCTACTTTGTTTGTCATAGATTCTTTTTCTTTTAGTATTTAAGAATGCGTTCTTTTCAAAAGAGAGTGGAGTGATTTTCCGTTGACTTCTCTTAGTCTAGCTGTCATCTACGGTCAGAGAGCCCACGATACGCTGTTTAACAAAGCTTTCATAGTACCTTGGATTTGGCTCGGTCTCCAACTAAGTAAAGCTTCTTTTTTTTTTCTTTTTTATTATAACTTGTGGGGAGAACAGAACAAAACAGACCCGTGTCTTTCCCAAAAACACGAGTGCGAAAGTGATCGCTGCGGATGACGTCGGAATTCCAATTTCAAAGCCAAAGATTATTACGATACTCACATAATTCTGGGCGATATATCCCCCTGTATTTACATTATTTTGTCCTACATCTTTTCGTTTCCCTTTCAGTATCTGTCTATATTTTATGAGATGATTTACATTATTCGGATTATTGTCCTCATCTTTGTCAGGTTGTACGCTCCGGCCTTCTTCAGGTGGTTGGAATATCGAACTGAACCCTTTATTTCGCTCACTGGGGTAGACTGTTCAAGTTCCACGTACCATGTTTTTAATGGGTGCCAGTTGTCAGTTATCTCCTCTCCAAGTTCTCTACTGCCTTAGCCGGGTATTGAACTCACACTCTTCGGGTCCTGTCACTGGATCTAACTAACGCCTTTATCCACTGTGCCATGTGTCCTTGACGACAAAGACAATAGTAGTCCGAATAATGTAAATAGTGTACATAATACCTCATCTCAGAAATATAGACAGATATTGTTTGGGTTTGTTGTCCTTGATTATTCCTGGCGTTATTTACACCATTTCACAGAATAAGAGTAGATAGGTGAACCTATCGTCTGGTTTACATTCCACAGTCTTTTGAAGAGGATTAGAGGTATATCTCTTCTTTTAGATTGGGTTTCCGGTTTCTTTTGTAACTTGATTCAACTCTATACTGCTAATGCTTCCTCTTACGCTAATAAAACTCCTCGCAGTAACCCTCTATCCTGAATGGCTCTTGGGCCTTGTATTGAGTGAACATTAGTAAAAAAAAAAAAAAAAAAAAAAAAAAAAAAAATAGAATAAAATAAATCTCTCCTTGCCTAGTGGTGGGCTTAAGTTTGTTCAAGTGGGAAAAGCAAAACAAATTAATTAGACAACTTAATTAATTTTTCAATAAACCCTTAAGACTTTTAATAAATATTTAACCACAACGCCCAAGGAGACTCCATTCTGGCTGAGGTAGGCGTTTCCCACCCTTCTCAGTGGTCAGAGAGCAGATAGGAAAAAATCATGAGAGCCAAGTTCTCTGTACTTGGAAGAGTTAACCAAAGCTTTCATAGTACCTTGGATTTGGCTCGGTCTCCAACTAAGTAAAGCTTCTTTTTTTTTTTTTTTTTTATTATATTTCTAAGAGTTATTTTCTGCCTCGTTTGAAGGGTCCCTATCAAATTAAGCAGAGTAATATCTCACGCTGACAAAAGTGTAATTCCATCCCCAAAAACCACATCTCTAAAGATTTATTGCATTTTTTTTTCTTCTCAGCGAATAGACAACAAAGAAACGACGCTAGGACTTGAGTCCCTAACTGAAAGTTCCACATGTCTCACTTGTGTCACTACCCCAATTAGCACAAGCTAAAATTTGACAGTTGAAACACTTGGGAGCGGTTGATATATTTTTTAATCATATCACTAACTAAACAAGGCGCTAATACCACTAAGACGCAAGTGGTCACTGGGGGCGGAAGAGAATATTTTAATAAAGAGAAAGGATAATGAAGTGCAGGATCAAGAAAGAAAGATGACGATTACCGCTGACATTTATAATAATCAGTTGGTCGCCTGTTTCATGTCGATTATTAGTTGACTGCTAAAGTGAATCAGTTTAAAGTACTAACACCCTATGAGACTTAAACGGAAATTATAAGAGAGTTACTGTCGTCTGTAGCTATTTCGTTATTTCGATTTCATTTTTCTAAATCTTTCACCCCAAAGCAAAGTGATAATGCCACAGAGAAGCAAGGAGTTATTGATAGTGAGAGAGAATGAGACAAGTGAGGAGAAGGGCCAACGAATACAGAAGACAGAGCAAAACATCCGGTAGACAAAGGCCAACGAACTGTGAGGTGAAAGGCCAACGAACTGTGAGGTGAAAGGCCAACGAACTGTGAGGTGAAAGGCCAACGAACTGTGAGGTGAAAGGCCAACGAACTGTCAGGTGAAAGGCCAACGAACTGTCAGGTGAAAGGCCAACGAACTGTGAGGTGAAAGGCCAACGAACTGTCAGCTGAAAGGCCAACGAACTGTCAGCTGAAAGGCCAACGAACTGTCAGCTGAAAGGCCAACGAACTGTCAGCTGAAAGGCCAACGAACTGTCAGCTGAAAGGCCAACGAACTGTCAGCTGAAAGGCCAACGAACTGTCAGCTGAAAGGCCAACGAACTGTCAGCTGAAAGGCCAACGAACTGTCAGCTGAAAGGCCAACGAACTGTCAGCTGAAAGGCCAACGAACTGTCAGCTGAAAGGCCAACGAACTGTCAGCTGAAAGGCCAACGAACTGTCAGCTGAAAGGCCAACGAACTGTCAGCTGAAAGGCCAACGAACTGTCAGCTGAAAGGCCAACGAACTGTCAGCTGAAAGGCCAACGAACTGTCAGCTGAAAGGCCAACGAACTGTCAGCTGAAAGGCCAACGAACTGTCAGCTGAAAGGCCAACGAACTGTCAGCTGAAAGGCCAACGAACTGTCAGCTGAAAGGCCAACGAACTGTCAGCTGAAAGGCCAACGAACTGTCAGCTGAAAGGCCAACGAACTGTCAGCTGAAAGGCCAACGAACTGTCAGCTGAAAGGCCAACGAACTGTCAGCTGAAAGGCCAACGAACTGTCAGCTGAAAGGCCAACGAACTGTCAGCTGAAAGGCCAACGAACTGTCAGCTGAAAGGCCAACGAAAGAACATGTTTCAGGAAGACAAAAGATGGCGATTGGTGGCGCCTAGCTATTTCAACAGTAAAACGATGAGACCTAATTGCCAATCCAGTAATTTGCTTAAATTCATGCACTTGAGATACCAAGGAGGAGAACTCATCAGAACAATTGCCATGAAAATATTTGTAGAAAAGGCAGAGGGAAGCCACATCACGACGGTGGGTAAGTGACTGAAGTCGAATTGCCTGATCAGGACCGATTACATTAAAGACCCTTCTTTAAATGTTGCCAAGGATTTCAAGATATATCCCAGTGTGGCAGAAATATTCAATACATAGACGAATGGTTGTTTTTTGAATGTGCAAGATGAATTCTGAAGAGAAGATTCTCTGGTACGCCTCAGTAAACCAATCACATCAATCTACTCATCAATTATGTCAGTAGATAATGCGAAACCAAGAAAACACAAAGTAACTCTTTGGAGGTTAGCATCAGCCATAATGACGGAGGGAAAATAATTCTCGCTCAGGATTAAATGATAGTAATTGTGTTTTGGGGATCGTTCAAATTTACAAGCCATTTCTACTCACTCTGTAGCATATTTCATTTTCTTTCATTTCTAACTACCCTGCTATCTATTGATCAACCTGGATACTAAACAAAATGGCGGGACAGAGTCTAGTCTGTCCATAGCTGTGGGTAAAGATAGATTGATAGCTTTCCCAAGGGTAGATATGCGAAAGTGAATTTAACGATCTCGACAGCAAGTCTTGTTCCAAGCAAGAAAAACACTTAATTACCACAGGACATTAAAAAAAAAAAATGGCGACGGGAAACCACTCCATTTTATTTACCCAAGAAATTATATCAATTCGGGGGTGGATGTGCATAGTATGACAGTAATATGTGTGGGGGGGGCAGTTCAAGGGTCTCGATATATCTATGATACGGGCCCCCTACTTCACTACATTTCAAATGTCAAAAGGTAGTATTCATATAAAATACACTTATTGTAACCTAATTATATACAATAATGGATCATATGCTGTATAGGTGAACAATTGAAAAAATGAGAATAAATACAATTTATCTAAATAAACAAATTAGTCATAATATAGGATTCCATCTTAAATATGTCAACAATATTTTACGGCAATGTTTAACGTCAACTTGAGATTTTTCTTGTTGAAAGTTGAATTGTGACACATTCAACA